TTCTCGGTCAAGGCCGTCGATGAAGTTGAAGTAGAGAGTTGACTGCCATTCTATGCTCTGTTCTATGGTGATGCGTTGCGTAGCGTTTCAATTTGATCTGCACATGATTTGTACTTACTGAATCCAGCCAGCCAACCTGTTCCGGTCATAGTTTTGAATCCAGTGCATCCTTTAGCCTCTCCAGGATGATGCAGCTTAATATTTTGCTTGCTGTGGGTGGACAGGGGTGGAGCGTGATTCCGCAACAGCTCTTGTTCTTGCAAAGACTTAGGTCACCCTTCTTTAGGATTTTGACAAGGTAGCCCTTCTAATCTGCAGGTACCCTTCCTTCCTTGCAAAGCTTCTGCAGTACTGATGTGAGCATGTCCGCGGTTGTCTCTGCGTCTGTTTTCAGTGCTTCTGGAGGAGTTCCGTTTGTCCTTCTGCTTTCCCGCATTTCAGCATCTTAATGGCGTTCAGGACTTCACTTCTGCTTTTGTCGGAGGGCTTGTATTCACTGGTAGTTCAGCGGCTGCAGGTGGTATTTACTGACGAGTTACAGGTAGTGGTCGATTCAAGAGTATTTTGAAGTGGTCAGCCCATCGTTTCCTTTGTTTCTCTTCTTTCGTAATTAAATTTCCGTCATCACCTTTTATTGGTTTCGTCTGCGTTGATCTCTTCCCTGCCAGATAGCAACCTGGTCATTTGATATAATGTTGTCAGGTCTCTGTCTCTCCTCCCTGCAGCCTGTTCTGCTTCGCTTGGAAGTGTATCGTAGAAGTGTCTTTTGGTTTTGCGCGCACTCTTCTTCACTTCTTTGTCCAGTTTTTTATACATTGTACTCAGTTCCTCTTCTCGTTATTCATCCTTGCTCTGATTTATCTTTTGATTCACTACTTTCCTTTCGTCTATCAGCTTCCTTGTGTCCGTCGAAATCCATTCCTTGTCTTGTTTCTTCTTTCCTTCCTAATACGGTAATGCAGGTTTCTTTCCACGTCTTTTCCAAAGAGTTCCAGTGTTCTTCCACACAGGTTTCTTCAGGGATGTTGCTTAATGCCTCCGATTTTCTCCTGATGGCTGTCTAACGTGAAGATGTTCTTTGTAGTTTTGTCCTTCAGTTTCTGGGTGTTGAACTTGAACTGTGGTCTATCCCCAACTTCTTTAAAGGCTTTCGACTTGATTTCGAAGGTAGGTTCCTTTCACTAGATAGTGAGTGATCTGATCTTGTGTCGAGTCTGCTGCGTGTCCACTTTCTTCACATTGAGATGAAGTCGATGTGATTTTTAGTGTCTTGGTGTCTGGTGAAATCCATGTTGCTTTGTGAGTATCCTTGTCTCCAATCACCAAATCGTTGAATTCGCAGAAATCTGCAAACAGTTCTCCATTGTCATCCGTCATTTCACCGAGTGCTTCTCGACCCATGATTGATTCTCTTCCTGTGTTGTCCACTCCCAGTTTGGCATTCATGTCACCCCGCCCATTTGAATTTTGATATCGCCATCTGGAGTGGTGTCTTGTCCAGTGTTGATTGTAGTTGTCTATAGAATTCCTCCTCCTCTTCATCTGCTTAATTATTTGTAGGTGCACAGTATAGCATAGCGTAGCATTGTATGATTGTGACTTTCCTTCCTTTTGAGTTGAACCTTGCTGTCATGATCCTGCAGGAGGACATTGGTTCCCACTGCATGAGAGCCTTCGGTGCTCTTCAAGGGGACATCATGATAGCCACTCCAACACTCAGTGTGCTGTGCTCGTGGTTGTCGTCTGGGTGACAATATCGGAGTAGATTATTGATTCCTCTCCAGTTGACAGTTTGGAGAGTCCACTTCCATTCCATCTACTTTTGCAGATTCCAAGCACTTCAATGTGATACCTCTTCATCTCGTTTGCAATTTGGGCAGCCTTGCTGGGTTCAAACATCTTGCGAGTATTCCATGTTCCCACGTTTACTTTCGCTCTCGTCAAGAGAGAGAAGACACATCGGCCAATTGGCTTCCCGAAGTTTAGCGGTTAGATTTGTTTTACGGGGTAGGGTTGCTAGCCATATGCCCAACCTTCCCCTCTTTACCCGGGCTTAGGACTGGCTAATAACTAGTGAACTAGTTAACCAGTATGTACTGCTAGAAAACTAGGCAAATGGAGCTGATACACTTTCGTGAAAAATTGATTTGATTATTTATATGTTGAAGCTGAAAACCACGTAAGAAATCAGAGAAATATTCAGCTCGGTTGATAGAAAGTTTACAGATTTGGCATGACGACTAACGTAACCCCAAAGAGAAGAGAAGATTTAGCTTCTTTAGTTACAACTAACATTTTGAGATAATCCATGCCAAATAGTTTAGTCATTACAAAACTGTTTACTGTATTGCCTTACAGATTTATTGACACCGAATATGGACTAAACCAGATGATTCAAGAGTAAATTATGGAGAAAATCCAACTGATTTTTGAGATGACCGCTTAAGAAACCGGTAATTTGTAAGATCCGATTCGGTTTCAGAAAGTTCTCCACAATCTGGTGTTGAATGTAAACATGCTGATTTCCTAAGTGCAATGAATAAATAATCTCAGTACTGATTTTTTTCGAAAACTAACAGGTACTTTCAACAGAAACCTATGATATCGGTAGGTAGAATAAATCAGTTTGAACAGGTGGGTGAAGATAACTGAGTTTAGTTGGGGGAATTATTCATAAAGGAAGACCAAAAAAGATAATTTTAATGATAAGTAGGAAAAATTCACAAACCCGAGTTGTTGAATTAGTTTTTGTAAAGTTAGAATCGCCAGTTTGATTATTTCCTCGTCTACGTCCACTAATAATAGGTTGATCTGTTGCGCACCGAATAGCTGCAGAGTTCGTTGACAAGGACTTATTGTTGCTAGAGGTCACCTTAGAATGTACCCGTGGAGATACCGGAAAATCTTGACCATTTAACTGAATTTGTTGTTTTCCTGGCTCCGTGTTTGGAGTTGTTGAATTGGACGTTGAACTTGACGGTGTATTTGCCCAAACACTTCCACTAATCCCGGATGCAACACATTGACGAATTGTATCCTCTAATGATTCTCTACCTCCTTGAGTGAAAGTATCGTCAATAATATCACCTCCACTGTTACTACTGTTACCACCTCCCGGCACCGGGCTGGCACGAAAAGACGCAGTAGTTGAAGCAGCCTGTGAATATAAGAAAGACTGGAATCCTGAAGATCATATGCCTCTTTAATTTGAATACGACCACTTAAACAGACACTGATGGATGTAAAATAGGATATGAGGAACCACACAATTACTCAAAAGAACATGTCTGTACACAAGTGGGGTTCCACGGTAAGGATAACCTACTGTATTAAATGAACCTAAAATAAGGTAATCGCTTTTTTTTCTCTGATGTAATCCTGTGAAACATGACAGTCATTTCTTTCATATGCAGTAACTGAATGCATTCAGATTCATCTCTGAAAAGACAGTCTCATGCTTTCATCGTTTGAAATCATTAGTCTAAAATGAATTCAAATCACGAGTCAAAAGCCTACGGTACGTATACAGCTCTCCTTCGATACACGAACTAAAAACTAGCTCAAACGAATCATAATATCTCTGAATGAAGTCGATACGTTGAGAACAAAGATAATACTGTTCAAAAACATCATTGTTTCTGGTCACAGTTCGACAACGAATTACATAAGGGTAGAAAAAACTAGAAAGTGGTTATTAAACTACTTTCAAAAATAAAAGTAGCTAATCACTTCCTCGTAAAACATAGGTGTGTTGAATGATCATATACAACCTGAATGATGATCATTTGCACTGGGGAGGTATGTCCCCATGATCGAAAAGTTCTTAGTCTCATTACGAAACCTTAGAACCGATAACATATAAATCAGAATATTTTATTCAATAAATAAACAGATTACGTTAAGTATTCTGTGACAAGTCATTAAGAAAACTGCACTTAGTCAATATGAGAAGACAAATTCAATCTGAATTGGTTGGGTTAGATTGTACATGAAAATTTAGTTTTCATTTTCTATCAAGCTTATTAATTGCAAACGTTAACTTACACTTCCAAAACTGATAGGAAAATCAACTGACTATTAAATGGTAGAAAATATTTATAGCTCAGGTGGATGGTCTTGGTTGTATTGTGTTCTCTGAGCTTGGTTGTTTAGTCGTGGAGGTTTCATCATCTTTCTGGACGATATCATTAGCACTAACTTCAGTATGAAGTAGGCTGTTAGTATCTCGCCGTGAGTAATTTAGTAGCTTGCCCTGACGAAATGGTTTGTGATTGGTTGTTTTCTTTGTTGTGTGGTTGACTGTACAGATTTTCCTGTTGGCTGTTCCTCTGCTTAATATCTGGTGATGTTGTCTAGAAAGACGATGAAAGCTTCACGACTAAACCACCCAGCTCAGAGAACACAATACAACCAAAATCAACTGACTAAATCAGTAAAATAAGTATACAAAGATGTTCACTAAGTATTCAACAATAGTCGTATACAGAAATATAATATCCTAAATACTACCACTCCTTACTAAAACAACTCCAAACGGAAGGCGGAACAATGCAACAGACCGGAACGCCATGAAGTCAGAAGTATTCCTGCGAACAAGAGCAGAGCCCTTACAGTTAATGGATGTATAGTGTCTGATCAGAAATTCAGTGACACTTATCACAATAATTACTCAAGACCCTGACTTTCGTAGACAATATCATGCTTATAAATAACAACATGACAAATACTCATCAATTGGGAACATAATAATACTAGTTGGTTAACCCGAGATGGACATAAAATTATTAATATATTAAAAATTACTTCGCTTGATGTTGTTGATCCACGAACCCGACAAACAGGACATACATAGTTGGATTCACAAATACCACTTGTCTCTTCACTGGTGGTAGATAAGGGTGAAATTGTTGTTTGGTTAGATGGATCACACTCAGCGTGGACCATACGGCAACACTGAACACATTTCATACCAGGCCAAACAAGGAAAGTACTGTTAGCATTTACTGAAGAGCTTTCACGTACCTAAAGATCAAGAAAAATGGATACACCAACTAGTTCAAAAATCCTTCACAGTAATGCTTTTTAGAACGTCTTGGAAACAAATTCGGTAATTACATTGCCATTGTTTGCAGTATAATAAGGGATTTCAAACCGAAAACTTTGACTTATTAAAAATGAAATCTGATCTGATGAAAACGAACAGATACACAGACAGACAAAATCAACGTAAAACCTCAAACACAAGTGTATCAGCTAAAGTTGTCACACTTCACCGTAGAATACAAACAACAAGTGGATAGAAAAAATGATATCAAAGTTGACCAAGGTGCGCGTGAGAAGGAACAAATTTAAAATGAAGGTTAGTCAAAACATTCAAGCACTAAATGTCAAAGAGTGAATATACCTGCGCTATCGTGATCGATTTTCAGCCATGTCACCAAGAGTCCTCAAACACTGATTCCTGTTATCTCAGGGACCTAAAACTAGTAGTCTACACTACTCTACATGGCTCATAGCAACAGTCAGAGAATTCATGCACTGGTACTATGTCTACGGTTGGCCACACAGCCTTTTTCTCATCTAAACTAACTCCTTCCAGAATTGCATGTCGGGTTAGATGGTGGCTCGGCATGCGCACACATACCCAAGCTATATCAGTCGCTGAAGATTCACAACCTAATCAACCGACTTTGCCATCTCCACCTGACCTCGACATTACTCACACGATGACTCTACCATACCTGACCAATGTTACGAACGTAATCATGGTCAAAAACTTGTAAACGCTTTATGTCTCCTACTAATATCGGTCATATCTCAGTCATACAACGAGACAGAACAAACTGAATTGCAGTATACTCTTCCTCTAAGAGGAAGTCAGATACCTCACCAGTGAGCGCCACAGATGACGCTGGTGGGCAAATACCAAACGAGCGCTCTGTTTTCCAGCCGAGATTTTGTCAGCAATCAGCCCTATGGGCTGATGCAACTCACCAAGTAAGTAAGATGGTTAAGGCACTCAGAAGAACTTGCATTTTGTCAGCGTTTTCTGCGTAACAGGACAATGTCGTCTACATACTCCAAGTAAACCAGATGACCTCCAGAGAGCAGGTCAATCCCTGTGAAGTTACAGGTACCCAACGTCCACCAGTACATCTGAAATGAAGTTAAACAGGAAGAGTGACGACCGGCACCCGTCGCGGACACTACTAGTTGTTGTCAATTGACATGACAACTCTTCATAAGCCCACACACGGCTGCGTGATTTCGAGTGAAGGGCTTCGATTAGCATTTTACACTTGCTCGGTACTCCCACCACAGTCTGAAACTAACACAACACCTTATGGTCGACGGAATCAAATGGTGCGTTCAGGTCAAGAAATGTAGCAAGTGTCGGCCATTCGCCGGTAGGTATGTATGTGTTCTAGAACGTGTTGAAGGGTGAGAATTTTATCGAGACAGCCTCATCCAGATCTAAACACTGCCTGTTTTTCCCCAGTTTGCTGTTCACAAGCTCTAATTAGGGCTCAGATAACAATAGATTCTAGGATCTTGGACACGATGTTAGCCAAACTGATTCCCCTATGGATGTCACAAGAAGACTTCTCTCCCTTCTTATACACTCTGATCATCAGTGAAGTAAACTAGTCTAACGGAACTACCTCTGATTCCCATAAACTACTTAGTACCTCCATCACTTTAAAAAGCAACTTCCCACGTTCATCCTTGAAAACTTCAGGCGCAAAACTGTCAGGTCCTGCTGCTTTGCATCGTTTCACGTTCCATACAGCTTTCTCAACTTCAAGTTGTTATTATATACATTATTAGAACACAAAAATGGTACAGCAACGGCACCAAGCAATGCATCACACAAAACAGTATAACAACATGATGAAGACATAAACAATGGAAAGTGGATAAGTAAGGAAGAAAAACAATAAGAATAGGATGATTAGGAGGGCAATCCAACAACATACATTCATAACAAAACATTCATTACTTATCAGCAGCAGAAGATAGGAGAAAGTTACAGCATGACAACCACTGCTTTCGATTTTGAGCCACATCGGATAACATCTCAAGCCACTGAGTTGTGTGAAGCTTTCAACTTCAAGGAGAGTTAACGGACCGACATCCACGTCCCATTCAGATTCAGGCTGCACGTTGAGAAACTTAAGCGTTGTTCAGAACCAGCTGAACTGTGCTTCAGAATATTTTGTCTAACGTTCTAGCCACCTGTCCTCGGAGGATATCAGTCTTCTATTCCTTTCGGTGATGCTTTCACTCACCATCATCTTCTTCTTCCCAGTATATTTAATAAGTCTAAATAGTTGGTGAGTGTTACCTAGAGCTGATGTCTTATCTATCTCTCTCCCTCTAGCTACACAACACTGCTCACCATCACTGTGAAGACGCTCGGTCAACGTACTTCTGAGTTGCTTTCGCTCTTCATCGTGGTCAAAGACAGCTGGAATCAGTCTTCTCTCATTAACCAGTTCAAACGATATTGTGGAAATCCAATGACATTTGCTAACCTTCAGGTGTTGGTTACCAACTGTTTCTACCACTGTTACCACTGTTTCTACACCAGACTTAATATCACTACAGTTCAAACAAGTACTACAGAAAGAGCAGCAACCCTTCAACTATGGCTTCTACCAATGTGATCTATCTGTGTCTATCATTGGTTTGGTGTCAGCGAACGCCATGCGAGACAGTGTCTCTTCTCATGCCTAAAGATAATGCTGCCTACAGACAAGTGATGTCGTAGCAAAATTCAAACAGATGATCACCCTTGTCGGTCAGTAAATACCTACAAGATGCCTTTCCAATTGCCTCACCTTCCCCACTTAAGGGTTAAATTCACCTACCATTAGGACTTCATCTCAACGCTTTGCTTCTTGTAGGAAAATTGACAGCTCCTCACAGAATTTATCCTCTGCATCATCCGAACTGCAGTCGGTGGGAGCGCACAAGCAGATTACCAACAGCCAACGCCTACTCACACAACCCTCCTCACTTCTTGCAGATCCATTCAGTCGAACACTACAAAGAAGGCTGGCTGTTCACTGGTATTCAGTCGACAAACCCACTTTATGTCCTAAAACCCAATACCTTGCCTACAACACCACTGACTTCAAGACATCTATCCATTAGATCATAAGGTGAATTCCGAAAATTCACTCCGATGGTCAGGTAAGGTCAATCTCATAACTGCACTCGGCTTCTCTATGTCTCAGAGACACACTATACACCCATCGCTTGAGATTCCACAGTTCTACCAAGCGATGCCTCCTATACCATTAGCCATGAGCTTTAGACGTCAAAACATCCAATATCAAGTTATCAACGACGAAACCTGTCAACACCTCATTCCTAGTCTCCTACTAACACCCCAAGTCCATTTCATATTAAAACGATCATGTAGCTCACGGTTCATCAATCGGTTCACCAACCTCCTCCAGGTAAAATGCTAATAACTGAATTTAGTGACAGAGTTTAGAACTCGTAATGATATTCTTCATGAAGCTGAAAAAGGGAAGGATGATATGCTATATCTCCCATGCTTAATTCATCATGATTTTGAGAGTGGACTAAAAATTCTTAGGTAACATCTACATTGTGAAAATAATGCTTAGTAACTAAGACTAACGAATATGAAAGTCATTTACTGAAGAAACCCATATTAAAACGCCAGTGATTGGCGAAGAAAGAAAAATCAGCTAGTGAACCTCTACTGATTCGCTTTTTATTTGAACTTTATGTGAAATCAAGTTTCGTAGGGTAAATGAGCCCAAAGCTGCGTGAGCTTAACCAATATTTCTAGACTATTTTACTATTTCCAGAAATATTAAAGGCTGCATATCAGTTAGGAATTATTCAAACCATTATTGGAGTGAGAATAAGAGTGAAAACAGCACATAATGCACAAAATGGTATCAACAACTTATCCTATGATGTTAGGTAGTAAAACATAAATTACTATCACCCGTTCACGAATACATTTTACGTCGATTTTGGTGGTAGTTATTCACTGATTAACAACCAATGTCGGATGACCAATACTTCAAATGGAATACTTCTGAACTTTTAATTTATTAACAAAGCCTACATTAGTGAAGTAACGGAATGTTAGAGAAAGTTAGTAATATTCCTCAAGTTTAAATGAAGCAGTATATCCCATCTACCTAAATCCATAACACTAAATAGTCGGAAGGCTGAAGATGGTATAAACTGCTCCGGTATACCAAGTCATTTTAATGACATGAAAGTCCTTGAGCTCATCCTTAAGTTTAATTATCACCTACGAGTAATACTGTTTAAGACTTCTATGCCTTGCAATAGGTCCACTGAAAATTATTAACATATCGTCACATCACAGCTTAACTCCACTATGACCATACCAGTCCGTTGGACGACGTAGAAACATTAGTCGTGAGAATTATCCAATATCGGTGAGTCGTAACTTTCACCTTTTAATTCTGAAAAAGTGTTATGTGCTACCGGAAAACTCGAAACGGAATGCAATGAAGTGATTTACAAGCAAATTTGATATTAATGTCTAGACAGAATAAACGTATACTGTAGTGAAACAGTAAAATACACCTTTTGGAAAGTTTGTATCAATGCTAGATGGAACATTTTACAGCGCCATTTATTCATCACCTAGAAACGATCTCCTTTAAGTATCTGTAGTGAATGAAATAAGAAAGTGAGCTTGAAAGTCATATATCCATTAAACGTAATTTAACTGAAATTTTAGTTTCGCAATTAACATGAATTGTGCAATGGTAGTGAAATAAAAAACAAAAACCATTAGGACACAATATCAAAATATGTGAGATATGACCAAGTTACTGAAAAAACATACCGGTAATGAGCAACGCCAGGCTCGTTCACATACAGGGCAGCATGAATTGGGCGTTTGTGAGTATGAAAACAACGGTCACATAAGGTATAGTTGCTGTGCCAACGAACATTTGGATTCTATAGAAAGAAAACGCATTCATATGAGAGTAATTCAAGTTTAAGAAAATAAAGTGGTAATTTCGGCTTTGACTTACGATTTCATTATTGAAGGCTACTGGTCCTTCCAGGCCACTTGTAGTAGAAGCACGTCCACCTCCACAATCAGAGCATACACGACACCGCTCACATCTGAATCCATTTTTAGGAATACTGGAAACAGGAGGCTTCAAGCAATAAGTGTGATAGCCCTTGTCACAAACGTCACAAACCAGCATTTTGTTTTCATCTTTACTTTCACTAAAACCACACAGGTACACGGAACCGTTAGTAAATAAAAGGTTAAAATGATCAAAAATATGAAAGCTGACATAAACATAGCAGGAAAGCGAAGTAATTGTAGAGACAACTAGGACTACTTAGGACAACCGTTTTAGGTTTATGGGTGAATTCAAGAAAAACGATTAAAAAAACTCATAAAATGCAAGACTTGTGCTTGAATCCCAAGAAAGCTTTAAAAAATAACAATACAAAAGTCTCAGCAAGTCGGACAATAAGATATCTACAACTTCGAAAACTAATTAATGCAATAATTCTTAGCACTTTGTGAAAATTAACCTATAAGCCACACATGATGCATATAGGCGTATGATAGTAACAGGGTGCCTTAGCCAATGCAGATGACATGAACTTTAAACTATCACATCATGACTAAAAGTCGAGTATCTACGTCACGATATGACTGCTCCATCCTTTCCTTTGACTACTTTACCTAACAAGTGTAAATAGGTAACAAAGTGCCAATTAAAAATTATGATGCACAAAAACTCCTACCACTCAGAAAGTTTGGATGCAATAAATGATAACTCACTTGCAAATTAAACAGGTTTTACACTCCGCACATTGCCAACCAATGCGAATTGTGGGGTTCGGTTGCAGAGGTGGTTCTAAACAAGAAGCATGATAATGACTGCCACAACTAGTACAGAACAGAAGCTCAGTTACATCACCCAGAGATTCACAGAGAGCGCACTGTAATGAGGCGTAGTCTAAAGAATCATAGAAAGTAAAATAGTTATAAGATGATTTCAATAAAATAGACAGCCAAAAAACACTAATGTAACTAAATGAAAATGACTTATGCACAAAGAAGCCTATTAGGCTAGAAGAACTGTAATTTACTATAAAAAAAACAGCAGCTGATGACTACGAAATATCTATTTTCCACAGTATACTGAGCTTATCATCAAACCTTTGGCATACTTTGTTGATTATTATTTCTCTTTCTGTCTCTTCCACGTCGCAAAGTCCTTTTTATAACATTTTAAAAATAACACGTACTTAGACGCTACGTAAAGCTGCAGTGACACAGTCACCGAACACAGAACAAACGTTTTAGTCCTGACAACTTCATAAATGAAAAATCCGATCGAAAACTCACAAACCATTTTAATTCAAACAGTTCACCAGTGAGGCGAAATGTCATCATATTCTAGTACACATTTAAAATCAAAATGTATCGTTGCAGTGAAGCTGTGATATCTATGTCCCACAAGATGACAAGAAACCAATATATGCTCAATACACTACTTCAACCTCGCCTGGTTTAGTTACTAACCGGTCCTAAGCCCGGATAAAGAACGAAGGTTGGGTATAGGGCTAGCAACCCTACCCCGTAAAACAAATCTAACCGCTAAACAAACTTCAAAGCACAAACGATATATAAAAAATAATAACAAAATTATTCCTCGCTAGAATCGGAGAAACGAAATGACACCAGTTGGTGAAAGCCTTCAGGAAGCCAGTTGGCTGATACATCTTCTCTCTCTCTCTCTCTCGATGAATGCGAAAGTAAGAATGAGGACATGGAATATCCGCACCATGTATGAACCCAGCAAGGCTGCCCAAATTGCAAACGAGATGAAGAGGTATCACATTGAAGTGCTTGGAATCTGCAAAAGTAGATGGAATGGAAGTGGACTCTCCAAACTGTCAACTGGAGAGGAATCAATAATCTACTCCGATATTGTCACCCAGACGACAACCACGAGCACAGCACACTGAGTGTTGGAGTGGCTATCATGATGTCCCCTTGAAGAGCACCGAAGGCTCTCATGCAGTGGGAACCAATGTCCTCCTGCAGGATCATGACAGCAAGGTTCAACTCAAAAGGAAGGAAAGTCACAATCATACAATGCTACGCTATGCTATACTGTGCACCTACAAATAATTAAGCAGATGAAGAGGAGGAGGAATTCTATAGACAACTACAATCAACACTGGACAAGACACCACTCCAGATGGCGATATCAAAATTCAAATGGGCGGGGTGACATGAATGCCAAACTGGGAGTGGACAACACAGGAAGAGAATCAATCATGGGTCGAGAAGCACTCGGTGAAATGACGGATGACAATGGAGAACTGTTTGCAGATTTCTGCGAATTCAACGATTTGGTGATTGGAGACAAGGATACTCACAAAGCAACATGGATTTCACCAGACACCAAGACACTAAAAATCACATCGACTTCATCTCAATGTGAAGAAAGTGGACACGCAGCAGACTCGACACAAGATCAGATCACTCACTATCTAGTGAAAGGAACCTACCTTCGAAATCAAGTCGAAAGCCTTTAAAGAAGTTGGGGATAGACCACAGTTCAAGTTCAACACCCAGAAACTGAAGGACAAAACTACAAAGAACATCTTCACGTTAGACAGCCATCAGGAGAAAATCGGAGGCATTAAGCAACATCCCTGAAGAAACCTGTGTGGAAGAACACTGGAACTCTTTGGAAAAGACGTGGAAAGAAACCTGCATTACCGTATTAGGAAGGAAAGAAGAAACAAGACAAGGAATGGATTTCGACGGACACAAGGAAGCTGATAGACGAAAGGAAAGTAGTGAATCAAAAGATAAATCAGTGCAAGGATGAATAACGAGAAGAGGAACTGAGTACAATGTATAAAAAACTGGACAAAGAAGTGAAGAAGAGTGCGCGCAAAACCAAAAGACACTTCTACGATACACTTCCAAGCGAAGCAGAACAGGCTGCAGGGAGGAGAGACAGAGACCTGACAACATTATATCAAATGACCAGGTTGCTATCTGGCAGGGAAGAGATCAACGCAGACGAAACCAATAAAAGGTGATGACGGAAATTTAATTACGAAAGAAGAGAAACAAAGGAAACGATGGGCTGACCACTTCAAAATACTCTTGAATCGACCACTACCTGTAACTCGTCAGTAAATACCACCTGCAGCCGCTGAACTACCAGTGAATACAAGCCCTCCGACAAAAGCAGAAGTGAAGTCCTGAACGCCATTAAGATGCTGAAATGCGGGAAAGCAGAAGGACAAACGGAACTCCTCCAGAAGCACTGAAAACAGACGCAGAGACAACCGCGGACATGCTCACATCAGTACTGCAGAAGCTTTGCAAGGAAGGAAGGGTACCTGCAGATTAGAAGGGCTACCTTGTCAAAATCCTAAAGAAGGGTGACCTAAGTCTTTGCAAGAACAAGAGCTGTTGCGGAATCACGCTCCACCCCCGTCCCCCCACCATAAGCAACATATTAAGCTGCATCATCCTGGAGAGGCTAAAGGATGCACTGGATTCAAAACTATGACCGGAACAGGTTGGCTGGCTGGATTCAGTAAGTACAAATCATGTGCAGATCAAATTGAAACGCTACGCAACGCATCACCATAGAACAGAGCATAGAATGGCAATCAACTCTCTACTTCAACTTCATCGACGGCCTTGACCGAGAAGTAATTTGGCAACCAGCTACTTCAACACTACTGTTTTAGTGCCACAAACCTTTATCAACCTCATTCAACAGCTATGTGCCATATGATGCTACATGCAAAGTGATTCACAACGGAAAGCTCAGTGACGCCTTAAAGGTGAAGACAGGAGTAAAACAGGGTTGCCTACTATCACCAATCATCTTCCTGACTGTGATCGACTGGATCATGCGGCAAAACCATGAGGAGTGAGAAGATGGGCATAAGCTGCTTCACCGATTAAAGCTAGAAGATTTGGATTTCATCGATGATGATTTATGTCTAATGTCTTGTCGCACAAACTTGAAGATCTACAGGTGAAAACTAACAAGTTGACAGGAGAGTCAGCAAAGACGGGACTTCAAGCAAACAAAGAGAAAACAGAGGTGATGGAGATACCCAGCCAACAACTCCAACAACAACAACAAACTCCAATCACCATCAACGGGAGAAACTTGAAGGAAGTAGCCTCTTTCACCTATCTAGGAAGCACTGTTTCAACTACAGGTGGCAAAGATGAGGATATCAAAGCCAGGATTGAAGAGCAAGACAGACCTTCATTAGTCTGAAATCAATGTGGAGATCTTCTGCACTCAGCATACAGGACAACATCCGGATTTCCAACACCAACGTCAAGTCAGTGCTTCTATATGGTTCAGAAACTTGGTGCGTTACGAAAAGCATTTCCAACAGCAGCTGCCGCCTACGCTCACCCGATATTGAAGATCAGATGGCCAGAATAATAAGAATAAGCAAGGAGGAACTCTGGCTGGTTGTCAACGAAGCAAGAACCCATCGTCCAAAAGATATGCAGAAAAAAGTGGAGATGGATTGGGCATACACTGAGAAAACCATTCGAGGACATCACACCCCAGGCCAAACCACGCCGTCGAGTGGAACCCAGATGGGGAACGACGAGTTGTGCGTCCGAGAGTGACATGGAGGAGATCATGTGAGGAAGAAATGAAAGTTCGTGTGCAGCTGTGGAACAAGGTTGAAAAGACTGCAGAGAACAGAGTGCAATGGAGACGTGCTACTGAAGCCCTATGTCCCACTAGGAACCCAAGGGACAAATAATAATAATACAGAACTATTTCTCCTATTTAACTAAGTTGTACTGACAGTTATATACGCAATATAACAAAAATAAAGCGGACAAAAAACTAGAGGAAAGGACAATCAGGTAACACCTTAAACCAAACCAAAATATCTAAATTCTGCTTATTAGTCAGGCAGTCAGCACCAACATAGGACCTGGCAGTACTGCATAACGGTTCAAATAAAGGGAAAAGTATTCGAGATGGATATACTGCTATAAATAGAGGGAGGGTAAAACAAAAACGAGATTCGGTATGATTATTAAGATGTGTGGATGCATCAGTGCTAATGAGACAGATTCTGAGCCATTTCACCTGAAGTCTATAACCGCGGATTTCAGTTACCTGCATTCCCCTACATGGCTCAGACTAAAAGTTAAGCTTTATGAACCAAGACAATTTTTTTAGTCTAGCCGTCTCTAAACTTTATCCCACCTAAACGCGCTGAATAAAGGATTGAGCGATAAAGCAGGCCGTAACTACGGGTGTAACACATGTCTCAGACATATGATTCATAGAAGGTTTACAATCTCAACAAATGGCATTTCTTTTCTACCTAAAACTCCACACCAGGCTTCTGCATTACTGACATGATAGTCTTAGAACATAACCTACATTTTGAACGGGACAGTAATCTTACACCTTAAGCCTCACATTCTTGACCTTTAACGGTCATGTTTCCCAGAAACGGTAAAAGAAAGAGAACTCCAATCGAGTACTCTCAAACATAAATAGGCAATCAGATGGCAAAACAGTACTAAAAATGGTGCCATTACGATAGTTTGTTGGGAACCATTATTGACATGACTTCCGTTCTCAAAATTTAACACTCAATTAAGTAAAGCTGTCTCCACTACATAAGAAAAAAAGCATGGCTTTTAGTACTTAAGCGTAACTTGTTTCAAAGCAGAAATTCTCAGACTGGTAGTTTAATGGGTTGTGAAATATTTCGGGTCATTTTGGTTGATAGAAGGTATGCCAAGTGCAGACTTCAACAAAAATAGAAGTCAATCTGAGACAAACAGAAGTAAGATACTTAGTTAGGAATTTCAATGATGTGAGCTGCTAATTACCGATGGGTTGTTTCGATGGAAACAATCGGAACTAGAAAAGCAATCCACGAGGTAGCAAATTACATAACTTACCGAAAAAGGCAAACATTTCCCGAGCCTGTTTGTAAATACGACCCACATCAAGATAATCATAGTAAAAGGTATCATACAATAAAATACCAGAAATCGAACGACTTACTCGATGCTACAGCTTCTGAAATATGAACTGGACATAGCAGCTCTAGAGTCTCAATATCCTGCAGACAACCAGATCCTGCTGCACACAGAAAATGGAAACATGAGTCACATCCGCTTACACGGCAAGATATGCTCGCTCCGTAACGAAGACACAGAGAACAACTTCGAGATACAGCAATATTTGCTGCTTCCTCAACCCCCTCAAGAACCATCTGAATAAATATGAAAATTAAGTAAGTTAACTTCCCTCAAAACACTGAATAGTCAGTAACCAGTAATAACGACAAAGAACATTGCTTAGCTGTTGTATATGAGTAAGTTAGTCACAATTCGTTCCTTTCCAACATAAAGTAAATTGTATCACCGAATCATACTTTTTGACTGCCAATCATTATTCGCCAAGGACTGTCACACACAAGTATAGACATATATTTTTTAAATTGATGGTCCTATATTAAAGTTAGAAAACTTGTGCTACATCTCACAATGGTAATCTAATAGATTGCTCTGAATACCATTCAGTTTAACAGATCTTCGACTACACTTGTATTCGTAGATTTCAAAACAACTGTTTCCAGTCACTTCTACCACTAGTTTAAATGTGTTTACACCGAAAGGCCAACTTAAAATCAATGTTGCTTGTCATTACAGTGAGAGAATGAACAATCAAGCTGAAGCCGAAATTATTCCTAAACGCTACTTTTGAAAAGCTACACTCATAACGTCTATCAAAAACTTGGCATCGACTACGAAGATCTAACTAAGCAGTCAGTGCATTTGAACTCCAGTTGCTTGATCTATGCCATCCAATTTAGTAAAGGTACTCAAAATGAATTTTAATGATTCCAAACAATTTTGACCAGTAAACCGTAGAAAGAATATCCGACTGGTAATTGCATTTATAATAACTCGTCAACAACAGGCCTGATCAAAAAATGAAACTCAATAAAAGGCTCAACGGATACGCATATAAGTGATACATTTACGGTCTACTTTACACGTACATTCGGTAAATGTGTTTACACTTTAATTTCGGATTACTTTATGCAACATAATGCATGGAAAACTATGACAGGAAAAGTTTAGGCGCTCGATGACCCATATATTAGGTAATCAACCATTTTTCCTTCTACGACTACTAGATGTACAGCTGCAGTTCACTGGTTTGAGTACGCCAGCTTCGATATGCACATAATAAACGCTTACTCACCTGATCATTGAAATGAACACCGTTTGACCATGAAGCACAGCAATGGTGTGCGTAAATCCAACCACCTTCACCACCTTCACGTGGGGTGCATCTTACAACCAGATTGCGAAGTTGCAGATTTTCACCAACATATACAGGTGAAGGCCAACCAACATAATTTAGTTCTTCAACTAAACCAAAAGGTCGACCACTGCAGTCGAAATACGCTGTCGGCATTCCTGCGAGACTAGGTTTGCAATCATAACTAAAGAATAGTTACCGAACAGACAAAACATACCCAAAACAATTCTTGTTTTTATTTCGACGGCATCCATCAAGGGATACATGCGGCCCCACTTTACAGGAATCAGAATCCGTCGGTAATGATGAGAAGGAGGCGACCACTACCCTACTGTGTTGATTTCGCCGATTAGTATGTGTTAACCGGTTGGTCACCAAAATATTGATGCACTTCTCTTGCTTTAGCTTCACCTTACTAATGTGGTCAATGTACCATGAAGGGGGCTCTAAGTATTCAAGCTTTGTATGAAACCTTAGCATTTCACCCTGTCCAAGATTCAGATGACCATTCATCCCACAAAATACACAAAGTGGTGTTAAGGCATCACTCGATTTCAGCGACAGCTGTGCCTCATCTAAAAGTTGGCCAGGAGATGCTGCGACCTTGATTCCATTATATTCAGTATGTTTTTCTTCTCTGTGGAAAAATGATTATCAAACATTTTGAACAAACCCCAGTGTCTCTTTAACAGAATCTCCACTGTCATCAACTCCCATATTCCACTGAAATTTGATGTACACCCCTGAGATAGTGTTAGTGAAATATAAAGAAAACTTGAGTTTTGGCGGTATTCAGCTTTTGAACTAGAATAAAATAAGTAGCTAGAAAGATAAAGGGAAATTTCTTTGAACTTACCTCTTAACGAATGAAATGTTAAGGAACTTCGGAACCAGCTAAAATTAGCTGACACCTAGCTCTTATGAGTGAGTATTAGAGGACATCACAAGTAAAAATCTGGAGTCATTAAGTGACCTTGGAAAGCAGTTGTTGCAAAATAAATGACTGTAAACACACACTTTGTAACTGTTGGGTTCATTCAACTACATACTTAAACAAATAAGCAACACACAAAATCATACATAACAGAAAAATTATTCTCTTAGGTGGGTTGAAATGCTAGCACAAATATTCAGCAAGTTCAAAAGAATGAGCAGTCTAGCATCAGAAAGCTTATAGGACATTTTTGCAATAATCCTAAAGAGAACTGACTAGTCAGATGGTTTAAATGGTTAATGACGGAAAAAAAGAAGCTTTCACCCAAATGGATTCCGCATCTAGACTTTGCGGGTCACCGGTTTCTTTGATTGTTAACCCGTGTACAAGAGATGATAAAAAGCGGCGGTTAAAGCTTGAAAACCATTTAGTTCTGAGCGAGTCCCACCTACATCCCAAATAAGTATCAAGTCAGCATCTAAAGGATCCCGATGAAGCAACCCCTGATCACTTCTGCAGGAACGGGATTTTAGGGTCCAGTAGCTCTTAAGGAACAGAAGTTGTTCAATCTTAGTCTGTTTACTAGAAATGTCACAGCGGGACAGTATTGTTTACTGGATAGCGCTTCGGGCATAGTTTGCTGTCTATATTCTTTCCAATTGATATATAAATATGAATAGCGTCAAGTAATTAAGTCCGGGACGTTATTCAGTAAATGATACTCCCTCAGTCCGTGGCATTTCTAATAAACAGACTAAAACGGGGTTCCAGTCTATTACAGAACCCAAGTTTTACTCTTTTATTGACAGAAAGTGTATGTGATATACAACCTGCTATGTTCTGTGCTTATTTTCACCGCGCACATCCCCAGATTGGTGCTGCAATTAGGACTCAAAAAGCAACAAGTAAGTGCACAGAGGCGTTCAAGATGTCGTGAGCCGTTATCAATTCCCTATTTAGTCTTCTAAACTCTGGAGGGTACGGAACAAGCCTACAGTGGCAAATAATTATCCAGAATCAGTGGTCTAAGGTTCGACGGGATTCAAAATTGGTGCCCAACGGTCTTGCTAAGCTGAAGGCACACAGTCAAGCATCCATGTCATTCAGCACTTTGTCGTGTTACGTCGGGCTGCTCGCACATGATCCTCCAACCAGTTACCTGGGACGAATAGGTATTTGGGTTGGTTAGATCCAATATCCAATATTGATAGTGCGAGCGTAGAAAACTAGTAGTTTTTGATCTCTCGCGTCTAGTTCTTAGGGCTTGGTTCCAGTTGTTCGGTTTACTCCTGCAGTGGACGAGGAAATCCCCTCTGCTTTCTTGCTTTTAGCTTCGGTGAGGTGGATGTTTTGTGGGTTAGTAGGTTGTAATTTGTAGAGTGATTAGGGAGCTACGGGTTGCTGGGAAGTTTAGAGAACTGCCATGACTCCTGTCTGTGTAGGTACCTGGAAGAGAATAGTAAGGTAGTGGTAAAGGAATGAAGAGAGAATAAAGAAGAGAGTGAAGTAGCACCATAGAGACTCTGGGAGCTGGGTTAAGGCCGTATCGCTAACCATCCTTGCCTTTAAACAGGAGTTTGCGTAGATAGCCACTCCCCCTCCTGCTCTATGTTCCCTGTCCCTGCGGAAGAGTTCCATGCCAGCAACACGCATCTCTTCGTCGGAGATGTCCGATGAGAGCCAGGATTCGGTGATGAATATGATGTCGGAGTGCTGATGTTCACGCAGCGTCCTCATTTTTGCTACCTTCCCTATTAGCCCCCTAACGTTGCTGTACATACATATTAGAGTGTACCTGATGAGGGGGAGGTCTGGATGTGTATTTTCGCGGGATGAGCGCTTACGTGGTTGAATTTAGCCTCGCCAGTCCTCATAGGACTGGCATTGTTCCGTTTTTTTGTGTTTTGTTCTTAACTTGGGTGGGGGCTGTAGCAGTGGTGGCTTCTTTACTTGATGTATCTAACTCACTGGTCAGCGCCTGTGTGACGACCACTGACTCCAGAGGTCTTGGTGGTTGCCGTCTCTCCTCTTGCCTTGTGGGTCTAGGCTTACTTTCACATATACGTATTGAGCCACCCATGCGATCTTTCGCATTATACCATGCGTGCAGAACGTCTGTGAGGGAGGCATATGAGTCGAACTGGACGGCAAGTAGTCTGGGATTGGGTATGGTCTTCAGGTGCGCTGGCCTTGGCAGTCTACTGACGCTGTTGGCCGGTATACTGTTGAGACCAACTTTGGTTGAGAGCCATTGCCATTGTTGGACGTCGTGAAAGTACCGATCTTTGACCGAGCTGTCACTTGGCAATTCTGGAATCCCATGTACAACTATAGTGTTGTTTCTGTTGGGATTTCCAACCGCTGACTTTCTCTCCTCCTCTCTTACTGACCATGGCTTGTCAGGCCTGGCCCGAATTTTACAGGCATTAACAACGTCCGGTTGTCGCGAGAGGAGGAGTGTGTCTTCAGCCTCTTTGGCGGTATTTAGGGACACACGTAAAGGGGGGGCTTATCTCGGGGTGCATGGCTTCCTCGAGAAAGGCGACACAAAGTTGCAGGGAGGGGAGGGAGTCCCAGCATCTGACAGTAGTCGGTCCACATTCGGCTGTCAAATTGTTCCCTCTCGACCAACAATGAGTCTGTCGATACATCGACGTTGAACAAAATGATCGAGTTGGTCCTCCTGTGACCTGGGTTCGTTGTGGGTGGCACGCCCGACTTACCAATGGGTTTGAGTAATTCCACTGGTTGTTTCTCAGTCACGGTGTGTGGGGTGTTCGGAATGGGTTTCGTAGAGGCTTCGGCGGTCGATGTCTTTGGCCATGCGCTTGACGTCCCCTGGGGCCGGGTGGGGGTATGGAGACTTGACCTAATATGGTCCCCACGCGAGATGGCGTGCCCACAGCTGGAGCTCTAGGTCTGTTTCCAGGTCTCTCTGTGTTATCCTTTGGTGTTAACCCTACTTTATTCGAGGATGCTGGTAGCTTTTGCGTGGCGGAGAGCATCTCCTTCAGGCTTTCTGTGCGGAGTGCGGGCATTTTCCTGCACTCTGGACAGATGTACCAGAACCACTTGCATGGTTGTCTCTTCATCAGCTTATAGTATTGTCGGGGGACTTTGGTATCGCAGTGGCAATGCGCCCATCGTTGACACAGGTTGCATGCAAATGCCTCATCGACTACCGAAACAACTTTGGTGCAAACACTGCAGCCATCGGGTGTCGTAATACAGCCTTCCTTCCATGAATAAGGTGCTACGGATTGTGGCGAACTGCTTGTGGCTGCCTTGTTCTGAAGCCTTTTACGTCGTCTTCTATGTTCAGGCATGGTATGATCCTTGCTCAAGATAGGACTAGTTTGTGACGGGCTAGTGCTACTCTGTGTCACCTGTCTGATGGCTACTGGAATTCTAGAAACATGGGTTGGCCACTTCTTTAGAAGTTCGATGTTCTGCCCTACCTCTGTTTGTCTTCTAGTACAGACTAGTGTGTTGTTTAGGGTGTTACTGGCCGTTGTTGTGCACGACCGCGTTATCCGTGTCAAAGCTTCAGACCTAGCGTTTTGGGCAGACATGTCGCTATGATATAAACTTCTTGGGAAAACAAGTAGTTAACAACAATAAGAGGGTTGAAGACTGAATGCAGGAAAAGGACAGAATAGAAAAGGGAAGATAATTTATGTTGGCTCACCTTCAGACACTTGTCACTTGATCCTCTGCTCTTGACCAACGAGTTTAACCGTAAGCTCCAGATGCGTATGTATAACCAGGGAAGATATTTCCTGGGGAATGACCTCCGAGGAGAACCGAGAGCTAAGGCAGTTTGGCAGTTGAAACGCCCAAGAACCACTGACAGGAGGTAGACCGGTTGGTTCAAAGGAATAATAATGCCAATTTTCAACTGTTGAGGAGTGAGCTGACGAATGCGCAGGGGTGAGGTGCGTGGACGGACAGAAGTGCTGCAAACGTTCTATGTTTTTAGATTGAGTATTGAAAGTGGGAGTTTTTCATTGTGGAAAAATCCAAAAGCTGAGAGACGAGCGAAACACGTCACAACTCAAGGAGCGCGCGTCAATGCCATATGTCATATGCCATTCCACCTGACCACTCTGTCGTACTTTCCCCTTGGCTTACACTTGTGGATATATAAATAGTGGGAATAATGAGTGATATCCTTTGTGTTTGTCAGCATCGTGTAAAATCAATTTCCAATCATCAAGCGCAACTATTCGTTCGTCACATGTGTCAGGCCTGTCCTCCAGCTAAATCAGTCGACCGCCTCCGGACGCGTTCTAAGCTTAACTAATCCCCATTGCAGAATTAGTGTTCTGAAATTTCTTTTAGTTTTACATCTTTCACATTGTGAATAAATCTCGAACGTGGAACTTTCGCTCTTGGCTCCCCCTACTGGACTGCCGAAGAAACGGTAGGAACTGCTAAAAAAAGTTCACGGCTGATGACCAAATAAGTCCTGGATGCTCTTCATTAGTTATACTCATCCTTTCATGAATATTCTATTTTCCCTTGTATAAATATGATGGTGGACCTTTCGCTATTCCTTCAGAGAGGAAATTTCGTAACCGAAAGATTCAGACAGAGAAACAGTCTGCGAAAATGCACATGTTAATCGTTTTGCGTTGTTTTGAAAGAATAATATAGAAGATGAAGAATAGTGGAAGTATGGGTGATGTGATACATCGTAACCGTATCCCTAATCCTTCCATCTCGTGCCGGTTGTACCTGCAACACATCAGGATGGGCTTAATACAGTCGGTGTCTCAGTCCT